TTTACATACATAAGAAACAGTTTCAATGAGGAACATGGTAAATTGAATGTATTGATGTGTAAATAATTTACTACACTGATAATGTACCCCATAAACGTTTGTTTCACTTAGTATCTTTAAAATTTGATGCCTTTCAAAATAATCTTTCACCTTTTCCGAGAAAAATACAAAGTGCTGAATTAGAGGAGCTGTTTCTTGAATGAGCTTGATTATATCTGTGCGTATGTTCTTGATGTAAGAAAATACCTTCATGAATCTCATGAAAAATGAAAATTCATCGACTGTTTGCAGGAATGCACTATGATAGACCGACTGAAGAACATCATAGACAACTTGGTGAACGCGAACTGACTGCCGTTTAGAGCTGTCTTCGGAAGTAATAATGAGTGCGGATGAKGTAATGGTTATAGCTAAATTCTCTTTTTCCATCTCAGGTATGCACTGACGTACATAGTTCATAACGTGTTCTAGTGATATGAACTCCGGGGAAACAGCCGCCATAAATTCAAATGTATGCCGCAACACTTCACTTTTTTCTAAAATCGTTTCAACTGCCATTTTAATAGCAGTCCTCATAGATCTCTGGTAAGGGTGATTTGTTTTCTCGTAAAGCTCATCAGCCGACATCAGATTTCCTTTCTCCACTTTTTCAAGATAACTTTCCCAGTTCATGGTTGGATCAGCGCAGCGTGTTTGTCTGATGTACACTGCTGCACAGGCAAGCGCTAAAGGCTGAAAGTCTAGTTTTTCGCATAATGTCTTTGCGACTTTTTCGTCGCATGACAACCCAGATATTGCATACAGGGTCTGAGCTGCGTCTTGTAATTTCATACCATTTTTAAGCTGAATCTGGTGTGCATGCGAATCGCTTGTTGGTATAGACTCGATGTCTTGAGTCGTGATCAGGACATGTCCTTTTCCATGATGCAGCAGCTTTTGACCTGAGTGCGGTATAAACTTGGAAACCATTTTAATATCTTCAACGTTGTCAACAATAATCAGCCATGAGGAATATTTCTGAACCTTTGGAGCTACGAGCGCTTGCAACTGAGCAAGTTTCTGTTCTTGAGAATTCGTTTCTGATGACATGATCAGGGATACGTCGTTGCATTCAAGCTGGAATGCCAGTTCCATGTACGACTGAATCAGATTCTCGAGACTCGACGCATTTAATGTAGMCACGAATTTGGACGACTCGTCTTTTTCAAATTCATCGAAGTATTTTTCTCCAATCTGTCTTGCAAGCTCGCTTTTTCCACAGCCAGGATTTCCTGATAAATATGTTACTGTGACATGATTCGGGAACGCAGTTCTGAGTCGACGTATCTCGTCAAGTGTCATGGATACTTCTTCATGACGGTGGACAACGTCGTGAGATGGCTTCTGAGGCAAAGTACAGAAGGGCTTCGCTTGGTAGTCTGAAGAAAGAAACAACCAAACATATAATTTGCATAACATTTGATACATGTTTGTATAGGGAATCAAATCAATTCAATATTGTACGAGAGGTTGTGCGATGTTTTGTTTATAGTACATTCATTGAAATAAAATTTATAAGGAGTACCGTTGTAATAGTACCCCTCTCGACCAAATGAAAAAGGATTAATTTGTTGAATGTACCATAATCATTGAAAAACCATGGAGTTTTTTGAGTTCAGGTTTAGACTGAGATAACTTCACCATAAGTTAATAGACACTGATTCAGGCGTGCTTCAAAAATATAAAAGGGTACCATTTGATTTATTATGTCATGATCCAGATAGATCCAGATAGCGAGTAAATATAGAGAGATATTATAATTTTTTTAACGTTTTCGCTGTAAGGACAAGGCTGTAGTTAGAGTTATGGACTGCAATCAAGATAAAATTGAGACTAGCTACTTGGACACTTCCGAATCCAGAACGTTACAAAAGGGTGGCTAACTCCAGGAAAAAATTCAGTCAATGGTTAGAGCTAGAGCAGCTGAGAAAAAAGATTGATCGAATACTGATTGACCAGTTTCAAAGAATCTTCTGATTACTCGTGCCCAGGCTACGCCTGCAGGTACGAGGTATAAAATGCAACGCGTATAATTTTATTTTTTATTTTTTTAATTCCAAGTCAGACGTTTTGCTTCGGAATCACGATTACTTTCCGAACGATATGCACTTGTATACAATACCTTTTGTTTGTTTGATTTCTTCTCTAATAGCATCCAGTCTCTTGTCCTCGCCCTCTTCCCATGAANCTTAAGAACATTTTTTTCAAATTATTTAACATAAGGCGTGTCATGTCCTCTTTGCATCCCTGCCCCCCCCTAAATCCACTGAATCCACCCCACTCCCCAGTCCCCACCCACTGCCCCCTAAACCCTCCTGACACCTCAGCTGACAGCAAGTCTATTTCCAGTAAAACATCACATTTCATATATATTCATCAGATGAATATAAGGACAGCATTGTTCATGGGGCACGACTAAACACTCTAAGAGCATCTAGCTAATTTTTGTTTGAGGGAGGGGTAGATGGGTAAAATAGTCTTTTTTATGTTTATTCACCAATAACAGACATTCATTATACTAAATACTTAGAATTACATTGCATTAAAGCTTTTGCCAAGTAACCAACATTGGAACGGGGCGGAATTTGAAATCAGCGAATTTCAAAATATTCACGATGTATTAACCGCATTGCTAACTGCACTGTTAATTATGCTGCTATACATATTAGTACGCTATGAATTCATGTCATGTAATGCTGCAAACTTACCGTATGTCCACGAACTGCAGACTCGACTAGATCACGCCACGTCACATGATGTCAAGACCATAAAATGAAGCCTTGTACCGACTAGAAGACATCCAAAATTAAGAGGAAACTTGCCCCAAATGCGTATAAAACTGTAACTAATTGATTGTGTTGTATCGAGGCAGGCTTTTCTTAAGTTTGCAGGGATTTAAAGTCTTAAAAGCGAACGTAGAAGAACTGATCATGCGAAACCTTCTTAGAAATCCCGGAAATGACACCCATGCAAATCAGGAATCTAAGCATGTGACATACATCAAGCAACACAGGAAATAATTGTGTCACATGACTTGTTTGTGACCTTGCGAATACGCAGACAAACCTATGCTGTCCAGAAGATTTTTCTACGTTTGTATTCAAACTGCATTTGCCTTTTTTTTTCACAGTCCTCAACATCAAGTTTTCAACTTGTTAAAGTAGCCTGTGTTAACATCCGTTTCTCATCCCTCCAAAAAAAATCGGGGAGATTTTTTTTGGAGGGGTGAGAAATGGACGTACACAGGCTAGTTAAGGTATATTGTGAAAGGAAATTCGCACTTTTTGTTCATTGTGGGAATGCATTGTACTCACAATATTTTTTTAGCATGATATTGACAGTTTTGAATCGATGAGCTGAAGGATGAACTGAAGGTTGAATGTCCTCCTTTCACTTTTACATTTCTTATAAAATTTCTGCTATTCGAATAGGTCGAATGAGGTGGTGTAATTCTTACAAATATTGATATTTATAAGTATTTCACGTTTTAATTTATTGATAATGATATGATAAATATAAGCTTAAGATACTTAAGTTAAAAAATATTATCTTGTAGTTTGCCAACATCCACTCTTGCTTTAATTTTTTGCTAGACTTCAACAAATAAACTTTCTTTTAAAAAGTGTTTCCGGTATGAAATAATTATTTAGGTAAGCTATAGAGGAACTTGTCTTTCATTCTTTTGCAACACTTATAGACCATATAAAAAAGGGCGTGGCTATCGTAACTCCTTAGTTTATACGATTTTTATTGTATCATTGCTACCCTTTGAAAGAACACATCACAATGAATAAGATCTGAAAGTTTCAATGCTCTAACATTTAAGGACCAGAAATTACAGGTGTTTGAAGTTGCAAAGGTTTGAGTGAAAATGAGTATGGAGGCCTGACCAGCCTCGTTTTCACGTTTTAGTTACATTTCAAATGCTCGTAACTCTGCTGACATTTAACATTTGAAACTAAAACTCCACCAATTTACTAATTGAGATATACTCCTTCATACGGTGAAAACAGATGCTTAAAAATATGGAGCGTTTAATGTGCTCATTCCCAGTCTTCTGCTCGTTTTTCATATGGTCAATACGACAAAATAATTAGCCGTTTACTGAGTTTTTACATAATAAGGACATAAGGACTTTACCCACTACCCACGACTTCGTACCCCACGACCCACGATATTTAGTTACACTCATTAATCTGTGGTTCCATTACAAATTGAGATATTCATCAAGTCAGTAAAACTCATATATTTATAAAAATAATAAAATTTTTGATAATTATATAACGCGCGCTCTGATTGGCTGACGACCGTGTTTATATCAGGACATTTTTTGCTCGAAAAATGTTATAAAAGAAATATAAACGGCCGCTTGTGTCTGTTTCCTCTGATATAAACACGGTGGGAGATGAAAAACACTCGAGAAGCAAGAGAAAGACTCGCTATGTTCAGAGGACAGAGACACGCGCGCCTTTTTATATTTCTTAAATGAATCAATAAGAATCCTATCGTAAGTTGATATTTACAGTGTTATAGTTTCATAAAAACGCCAAGCTTGAGTGTATTTGCACAAATGGGGGATGTATATTTGCAAATATTTTCTATTTGTTTAAGGTACACAAACATCCACAAACCATGTTGCGCGATTTTATCACATAAGCCGTCGTTGATTTAGTTTTAATCAAAGAGCAGCTATCAACAACAATTCTTTCTTTAAAAAAAACATGCGATCGCAAAGGCTGAGAGTGTACAGCGGACTTCTTATGCCGGTGAAAAAGCACGCGCGGCATGGTCGCGGAACCTATATCCCGACTTTCCACGATATATCTCGAAGCTGGTCAGAAGGTAGTACGAAGTAATTCCATAAAACTTCACACAGTGAATCACCCATTAAATTTGTTTCAATTCCACTCGAAGATCGCCCGACTTTTCTAGATTTTCCCGAAACATGCCCGAGAGTAGTACGATGTAAATCGATAAAAGTTCACGCAGTTAATGACCAAGTAAATTTGTTTCAAGTTCCACTCGAAGATAGCCCGAGATTGTCCCGAAACATTCCCGAGGATAGCACGATGTAAATCGGTAAAAAATCGTACAGTTAGTCAAGTTATTCCACTGCAGTCTTTTGCTTCTCGCTCCATATTTCTTTGGTAAGAGGTCTCAAAGCTTTAGCTGACCCTGGAGATGTTCCCATGTAGGAATGAATTGCTTTCTTGACATGGTATCGAGACTGCGCGGGAAGGTGTTTCAACTCGGACAGGTTCATTCGTTCCCAGTCATTCACAGTTCGATCGTAGTCTTTTTTGGCGCGTTTTTCCTCCATACCGGAAATGACGTTTTTCATTTCCGACCTGAAAACGATTCCAAGGATAAGCCGTTGTTTTATCATCCGTTCCCACTCCTCC